TGCCTTCTGTATCAATTAATGATTCTATTTACTTTGCTACTGGACGTTGTAAAGTCACCCGTAGGAAAAAACCCATGATAATCATTCACTTTCTCTATCGATTAGACGAGACCAACACAGGATGCGAGGAGGAGGAGGAGGAGGAGGACTCCATCTTACATTTGCTGTCTACTGCAGAAATCGGATCTACTGTTCCTTGTTCTCGAAACAAACCTATCAGGGAAGTTCTAGCTCTTTGCATTCATACAAAGACTTGCAATATGTTATTGCATTATAACTTTAATTGAAGTTATTGTATTGTGACACTAAAGATAGAACACTGAAACATTTTATCTAACAATTTTCTGAGAGACTGAAAATTGTAGTTAATAAATAGCAAAATAATTACGTAGACTGTTGTGTTACGCAACGTCCATTGTCTGGACATTTGCAGTGTACTGTCAACTTCAAAAGTGATTTTGTAATAAAAATATTTCATAAAATGGGAAATGACCAACAAAATATTAGTAAAATAAATCAATCGCTTTCAAAATACTTTAGATTATCAAAGTAATTTGGATGTTAAACGGGACAAAGTTCTTTTTAAAGATAACACGCCTTCCGAGATGTTAAGTCATCGCCCTGATGGTGGAAGCAGCAATTATGCATTTATATCGTGTGCTTTGCGAACAGACACATGCACACTTTGTAAGCGGAGTCCGATGCGGACCTGCAGGCCGGATGCGGGTTGCTACAGGCTCATGCCGGTATATCAGTGAGCGACATCGCGAACCTTCTAACCCAGTTACGCCTACAAGACTCACGAGAACTTAACCCTAGATCCCCAACTCTGCGTGTACCTGCTCGCATTATTAGTACAACCGCCGGACACAATTCTTCTAAACACTGTCACTGATTTTGAAGATTACCTCCTGCTAAACTTTGGAAGACAAACAAATAGAATAATCTTGAAAAACAAAATTTTGTTACCATGTAGCATGTCCTACACATGAAAATATGAGAAACATATAACATTTTAAAAGGACAACACCAAGGGAAAACACCATTTGGTATGCAGAGGCACAGAAATAAATATAATATTAAAATTAAACTTAAAGAAATAATATGTGAAAATATGGCTCAAGGACAGAGTATAGTGACGTACTTTTGTGAACCCGGCAACGAACTTTGCAGTTCTATAAAAGACGTTGAATATCTTGACTAGCGCAGCTTGTCAATAACAAATATGCTTCTACGTGGAGCTACTTAGTTGCTCATTGTTATTATTAATATAAATATGTATTCTGTAATTACAGATACCCGATGCAATAAAAACAATTGCTTCGTTGCTAACTCGTAGGGTTCTGAGTTTACGAGGCAGCCAAGCAATCGGATCAAATAATATCTTTGCAAATCAACTTGGCCGTTCAGACCTCAAGCTGCATCTTTCGACAAGCCACACACACACACCCAACGCCTTCTATCCCAAGCCAAACATTCCGTGATCAGTCATTCATAGACCGATCTATACTTGAGGACGACTGTCTTCTGTGATGTTGCGCATTGCAGTCTGGTACAAATTGACCGACGTTTCCGAGGTGCGTACTGTCTCCATCATCAAGGCGAATCTCTCTGATGATGTAGACAGTAGGTACCTCTGAACGGTTGACACATTCCTACAAGACTGCAAGGAGTATCTCGGAAGACAGCCAACTTTCGTACACGTCTCCGTGACAACCTCAAATATCATGATTTATATTTATTTGAAGGGACAGAGAACTAGCACACGTTTTCGGCTAGTATTCTAACCGGGTGCCTCCACAATGGCAGTCGTCAACGAGTCTTAACTTTTCGCTCCAGTGGGTGTCTCTGGCTTCTCCCTGCAGCTCCTCACAGGATGTAATAACGCGAGGCTTAGGGAGACGCCCGGCAGGGAACATGGGCTTGCAAATTCCGTCTAAGCAACAGGAGCTTCGCCGATTCTCTTAACCTTCCAAGCCTCTGGGCTTGAGTCAGGAAGAACGCATTGAAACTCGCACGAGTTTTCAATATCATAAATAACATGGAATTTAAACGCTGAATTATATTGACATTACCACGAAACTTAGCATAAATATCACGCCAGTAGTACCAATAATATTAAAAAGATGGTCGTTCGGACGTTTGAGGTAGGAGCTACCATAATATCAGTGAATGTAGGATTTTTATATTTTATACACTATTTTATTTATTTATTGCTTATTTTATATCGCCGCTAGCCTACATTGGAAATGCTGATGAAAGGCTTCTTTTATTTGTTGTTTATTTAATGACGCTGTTAGTAGCTCAGAATATATAGCGTCGCAGGATAGGTTTATTAATTAATTAATAGACAGAATCTGAAAGTAAGTGGCCATGACCTAATTTAACGTAATATCCTGGTACTTGCCTGGGGGTATCGAGGAAAACCACGAAACATCTGTCAGAATAATTGGTCTCAGGACCAAGATTTGAGCCCAGGACCTCACAAATACGAAGCAGGAGTGCTTCGCTGAATATAGTAATAGTGCTTCGAAACATTTGCAACTCATTATGAAGCTGTTCTTGCAGAACGAGTAGCAAATAATACGAGAGAGGTACGGATTTTATACTTAGATTTTCGTTTTAAGGTTATAAGTGATTAACTATTTGTAGAAGGGAACAAAAGAATATTGTACGGAGGTAGAACACAAACACACCTACAAAATTTTGTATGGAGAATTACTTTTAAATGGATTAAAACTTTATCGAAATTCCCCACTTGTTGAAGAATTTTATTAAAAAATCATGTTATTGTTTATTTCCTTGTAAATGTAATTATTTTCGTTTCTGAGGTGAATATTCCAAATTGTATCCAAGAATTATTGACAAGCAGCATTAATGCTCAGTCTCGTAGCAATTAAAATAATTTAAAGAGAGGATTTACATGTGTTCATGCATGTTACAGTTGTTGCAACTGGACTTGATCTACGTTATATTGTTTGCTATCGGATTATGTTACCGTAACACTGCACTATTCACGGACCTAAGACTAATGTTATTTTATGCAATTAAAATTTTGAATTGCATATTTGCAGAAAATGACAGAACTACATATTTGGTGCCCAACGAAGTCCACAATGATCATCACTGGTGCGTATTACTGTTCGTAAAAGGAATTTAAAAGAAGTGGACTATAACAAAATATCTCCAAAATGCAAGTTACCAGATAAAACTTAAAAGGTTTCAGAGAATCCCGGCAAACGTAACGTATTGTGAGTGACAAGAATTTTATTAAATGTAAATTCTGACTATATTCTTGAATACTTCCATAAAATATCGCATTTATAAAAATTAAAGGAACAACACTTTCTAGTGAGATGTTTTGGTCCAAAATGTATAGTGGTAAGGCCAGAAAATAATTAATTACGATTTTCTTAATACTTAATATAATTTTCATTTCTCATGCTAAAATTTTCCATAAAATTAAAATGGCGTCTGTGGCAATCCAGTGTCATGCCAAGCGGCAGCCATTACGGCAGAACACGGTTACCTGGGAAACCAAGCGCCATTTTGTTTTTTGATTTTTTTTACTATTAAATTGAAGGTGTCGTATGCATTCAAGTGCAAGGGAGTGGCACCAAGTGAGTTAAAAATTTGAAATGTCTTCCTTTATCCGAGTATTTTACCCTATAATATGACCATTAAAGTTATGTTACATGTATAAGTGTACTTTGACTAGGTAATAACAATTTTGAAGATCGCCACTTGATTTTATAAATACGAGATTAAACAGCATCATTAAACAAAGAAGAACGAATTTTAAAAGACAAAATATTTTGACATATGGGCGGTGCCTGTAGAACGCATGGGAAAAATACGTCCAAAATTGTGGTCATAACACGTCGAAAAAATAAACCACTTGGCAGACTTGGCGTATATGAGAGTATTATATTAAAATAAAACCTAAAAATACGTTGTGAAGCTGTGGATTGGATTAATGTGGCTCAGGATACGAATGAGTGGAGGTCTCTTGTAAACACGGTAATGGACTGTCGAGATCTTTAAAGTATTGGAATATTTTATGCCTGCCTATCATTCTGAGGTCCAATGCAAATCTCAAAAAACGTGAAAGGGTTTTAAAATTTTCAACACTTCATCTGCTGGCCGTTTTTGTTTCAGGATCACCGCAAATTTTTTATTCATGGTGTATAAATGTACGGAACTTTATTAATGTTTTTTTACTAAAATAACTTGTCAGTTCTCGGTTGGCTTATGAGGCAGTTACTGTCACGGTGTAGAACAGATAAACACACAATAATTCAATTACATTATCAACCGAATCAACGCACTATTATAGGATAATAGCCTAAACAGGTCCTACAATATGTTACACTCCGAATGATAAAATCTGCAATTCAGACGTCATCGTGTTAGAAAATTTAAAATATAAACGTTTAAACCTGTCTGTAAGAACTTTAATATATAAGATATTATTACAGGTTTAATATTTATCATAATTTACTAGCACTAACATGACTAATTCAGTCTTTGGTAAGAAAACTGTTTTTGCCTATAAAAGCATGGTGGTAAATTAAACATGGAGTCTGTTTCCGTTCAACTGTACGAAAATAAACGCAAAATAAAGATCGCAAATTAGAAAACATAGTATATGCATAATAATATTAAGAAGCCTATTTATTTAAAAAAAATTGATGAAAAGTTAGTGTATCAAATTTTAAGTCAAAACATAGCGAAGATTAAATAAATATCCTTCGTTCAATAAAGGAATATCGCACAGAAATTCTTCGAGACAGCGAACTACAACACCAAGCACACACAAATTCATGACCACCCTATGACAACTCGGATTATCGTCTTTAAATCAAAGACAGACCTACTAGGTCACTTTTCAGAACAAAGATTCTTCAGAAAGAAGGATGAACGCACACCGTACAACACGCACAATTTTCGCCGACTTTCTCACACCCTGGTCACAATTTTTTCGACACCTTGCAACTTACCATTTGCTGCGTAACATTCACACATCAGCTGGTGGAAGGTTAGACGAACGAAGCACGAAGTGGTGTAGTAGAATCTGCACAGTCGACAAATGACGATGTTCAACAATAAAATCGAGCGGGTGTGCGAGGCGGCGAGTTGGCAGGTCGGCGTGTGGGAGCTCCCGGAGCTCCTGAAGCCGGAGCCACGAAACCGGCTTGGCGTGGGTGTTGTGCAGGACGCCTAACCACTGAGGAGGCATATGGAGGCAATTTCTCTGAAACCAGAAATCCCAAATCACGCCCTCCGCTGACAGAATTAAAAAAGCAACTGTGCTTGTTTGAAAAGACATTTCCTTTCCACTCATATGGCAGTCTTACGTATCGGTCGCCTTAAAACAAACACACACACAAAAAAAATATTTAGAACAAGATAACAAAGTGTATGTAACAATCGTTCATTAATGCGTAATATACTAGTCCTAGTTCTATAAAATATTAATTACGTTGTGGGATTTACGACAGTGAATATGACAATGACGTTCCTCTGACTTATGGCGCCGTGTAAATTCATAAACAGAAACAAACGTTTTGGAAAAAAACAATGCTGTCTCCACCTTCAGGACCGAACTTCAACCCTTCATCCTCGAAGACGAAGAGAGAACTTCAGCCGCGCAAACCTGTAGATGGAGCTGTTATCTACCTGCGAGTCTACAAGCCGTAATAAAACAGAAGTAAAACATATTCATCAGGTTCTTGACCCATCATTTCTAAAAGGGTTTGAAGAAAACATTTTAGCTGCCTCGATTTCTCTCTTTTGTTTCTGGGATTTACCTAATAATTTACCGCAGTTTCACTGGCCCGTTGAATTTTCTTTGGCTGTGTTCAGAAAACAAATAACGCACGTATGGATCTAATGTGTTACTAGGTCACTCACGTGGAATCTACAGCTCAATGGTTTGTCTCAACACAGCGTAAAACGCAGAGCTATTCCTGTCCGCAAAACCGCTTCATTCGATTACAAACACACGTGTTTTATGTGTTGATTTACATGCCAATTTGATCATACATTCATATAACTGTGATGAATTTGTGGAGTGTACACAAACAGAAAAGATTCAACAGATAGTTATACAATCATCAATACGAATAAGGGCCCCAAAAGATCACGAGTATCGTTTAGTGGCTCTGACTTCTTGTTACATCCATCTTTGCGATAGAATGTAAAGTCTGTTTTGACGGCGGAGAGAATGATGATGTTACGTGTTTTGGCGTCGAACAAACTCGTCGGTAGACGCCAACGTTTCGAAGAAGAAACATATTCCCCTTCCTCGGAGATGAAATACATAGCGGAAAACGTCATAAATTAATATGAATTGTGTCTCATTACTACAATGCAAAGATAAAAATATAATTAAACTATTTTTCTGTAATATTTTCCTCGTTTTGTGTTGGTTCAAAATTTGGTTTCTTATATTAAGGGAAAATCACACATCGAGGGTGTTTGGAAAAAGGCTACTGAGGGATGTATTTAGATATAATAGAAAGGTAGGAACAGAAATATGGATAAAATTGCATGAGTAGCTTCATAATTTGAACTATTCATCGGACATTGCTCGGGCGATAAAATCAAAGAAGACAATACAAGCCAGGATGATGAGAAAAAAACAACTTATAGCAAGAAAATTCGAAGACAAGTGATCACTTGAAGATTTGGGCGTAGACGGGAGCTCAATATAAAAACGATTCTTAAAAGAAGAAACTATGCCAAAGTGTGGGTTGGGTTTGTCTCGCTCAGATTATGCACCAGCGCCAAGAAGATGTGAACTTGATAATAAACACTCCGATTCCATAACATGCTGAAAATGTATTAACTAGCTCAGTAACTACAAGCTTCTGAACAAGGACTCTGCTCTATGTAGTTATGTTTCTTAACCAAGACTGAAGATGGCTGTCTTCTGAAGACAGCAAACTTCAGACTCACCGCCGTAAAAACCTCAAATCCTACATTAACCAGGATGGATTAACTGGCTCAATGTGAACACAGATGAACTAATCGTCTTCAACGATAAACATATTAAAGAAACAAAACCAAATTTTAAAAGCTAAACTTTCATAACTTCGCCTACAAATTCTTACCCGTTTGATATCAATGCTGTTACTTACATGCATTGACATCCAGCTCCTCATTTGTTATTACTCAGAACACAATAAAATTGCGACGTTGCAATTGACGTTGGTGAAGTTTCAAGAGACGCTCAGT